TAAAAGCATGCTCCCTGTTCAATCATATAAGTCAGCATTATTAAAAAAAATATATTATAGGGACTGAGGCCAGGAGAGATTGCTCACTTGAAGGAATCAATTTGAAAAGCTATCAAAAAGAAGAACCACCTTATCTGCAGTACAGGAGCAGTCTGTTCAGCACCTCTCTGCATCTAAAAAGTACCACCTACTACAATGCCAACGGAACCCGGATTTTCCTCTCACACATCACCACTTGCCACATCTGAGATTGCTTAGCTTTGGACACCTGACAAGTTCACACAGCGCCCCTAAAATCCTAAGTCTGTAGGTCACACCAAGTATCCATTCTGTGGGGATCTACTATGAACACCATTAGCAGGTAAAACCAAAGATTAAAATAGGAATTGTTTTTTTTTTTTTATTTGTGACTTCCTTCTTTCTGTTCAAGTAACAATAGGGATTGGTGTTAAAGAAACTGCATCCTTTAGGGTGATCTTGGGCACTCCTTGGTAATAAGAATGGAAAATGGCAATGGGGTACAAAGAGTTCATTTCCCTGACTGGGGGCTCCAGCTTTCTTGCTACAGTCCAGCAAGAAAACCCTGCTAATGCAAGAAAGCTGATATGTGGGAGCTTAAATGTAAAACAGCATGTGAAGATTCCAGTGTTTTATCCTCCTCTAGTATTTTATAACTGGACATTTTATTTCAAAGTTGTAAAGCCCATTCCTCTCAAGAACACTCTGCCTCTGTGTCTTCCCTCATATCACCCTGTTGATCCCTCAGACCCCTCCTCTCTGCAAATATACACACAGAAAAATCAGACCTTCTTTCTCATAAATCAGACTACTATGAAAAAATCAGACTACTATTTCTCATAGAATAAAAAAGAATAGACTATCTCAACTGGATTATGTACAATGATTATCTGCTCCAACTGCCTGACTAATTCAGGGCTGACCAAGTTAAAGCCTGTTAAGGGCATTGTTCACATGTTTCAAACACTGAAAGGCTTCAGGCATTGACCACCTCTTTAGGAAGCCCATTTTAGTGTTTGACCACTCTCTCAGTGAAGAAATTCTTCCTAATGTCAAGTCTAAACTTTATCTGGTGCAGCTTTGAACCATTTCCATGCATTCTGTCACTGGATATCAGGAGAAGAGACCAGCATCTCCCTCTCTACATCCCCTCCAAGGAAAGAGCAATACCATCATAGACTGCTTTAGGTTGGAATGATCTTTGAGTCCAACTCTTAACCTAATGCTGCCAAGTCCGCCACTAAACCATGTCCTTAAGTGCTATATCTACACATCTTTCAAGTACCTCCAGGAATGGTGATTTCACCCCTCTCCTGGGCAGCCTGTTCCAATGTTTGATAGCCCTTCAGGTTAAAAAATTTTCCTAATATACAATCTAAACCTCCCTTAGTGCAATTTAAGGACATTTCGTCTTTTCCTATGGCTTGTTACTTGGGAGAGGACACCAACCTCCACCTCACTACAACCTCTGTTCAGGTGGTTGATAAAGTTCTACCTGAGCCTCCTTTTCTCCAGGCTAAGCACCTCCAAGGCTCCCTGAGCCACTCCACATTAGACCTGTGCTCCAGACCCTTCCCCAGCTCAGTTGCATTTCTCTGAATGGGGTAGGGGATTGTTGTGACCCAAGTGCAGGACTCAGCACTTCATCTTATTGATCCCCATACAATTGATCCAGCCAGTCCAGATGCCTCTGTAGAGCCCTCCTGCCCTCAAGCAGATCTACATTCCTGCCCTACTTGTTGTCAGTAAACTGACTGAGAGTGCACTCAATCCCCTCCTCCAGATCATCAATAATTACATTAAACAGGACTGGCCCCTGTATTGAGCCCTGGGGAACACCACTAGTGACTGGCCTCCAACTGGACTTAAATTCATTCAGCACCACTCTTTGGTCCCAGCTACCCAGGTAGTTGTTTTACCCAGTAAAGGGTAAATAGGACCTTGGTGCTTCACAGATTTTCTTCCACCAGTCCAGCTTGCTTCCTATCTCCCCACTGGGCTGTTTTCCTGCTCTCCAGATTCCTTGCATGCCTTTCTCATCCTCTTAGTTCCTTCTGTCTTCCTTTACATGATCCAACAGAAGCAGCGATTCTCACAAGTGATGCTTTAAATAAAGACCATTACATAAAGAGGTACTAAATTCCTACAAGAGGTCAGTTAGGTAATATGGTGTATATCTCCTTTCCCTCAGGTGTGTATCACTGTGGCAGCCAAAGAGTGATCAATTTGGAGGGTTGCATAAGGTGTCATTGGTACAAGTGACAGATGACAGTATCTGGTACAAGAAGCAACACCACACAGTTTCAAGCCAGTTTTCTCTTTAGAATTCCACTGCTCTTTTGCAACCAGTTTTCGACTCTTACTAGTCCTGACATTTTTCCACAGGGTCTTGCCTTCAGAAAATCAAAGCCATGTCCTGAACCAGGCTAAGACAGATTTTGTTGCAGCAAACTACGATTGGCAACCTCTCTAATGGGAAGCATCCTTACCTTCTCCCCTACACACAGGAGGGAAGGTGGCTCATCATTCTTAGGCCAAATGAAATCAAGAGAAATACAAAATCAGGGTCCTTTCAGTGATTCAGAGCTGCTTTTCAACTCCTTTTGTTTTAAGTTTTCTTCCATTTTTAGAGTATTTTTTAACTGTTCGTATGATGCTACCATTTAACTTTATGAGATAGGTTTAGCCTCCAACATTCCCATTATGAAGGGGATAAATTTCAGGATACAAGTCCTAAGTAAAAGCAAGTCATGGGTTAAATGGATGAGATTCCAAAGGCTCACCTCCTGACCACTAAATAGCTCTGCACCTGTTGATAATTCCTGACCTTCCAAAAACCTAAAATATGGGCCTTTCCTGATGGTTATGATCCACATACAATCAGGAAGGAAAATAATTAGTGAGTCTCCAAATGCCTTGAACAGTGTAATTTCTAATCTCTGTTTGCAAAGCCAAATAGAGACAGCAAACTGTCTTCCAGCAGGGTTTCTAAGCTGCTAAATCTTGTAGTACTTGAGGGACTATAATCCCCAAGCAGCACAAGCTGGCCTAAGAGACAGTCTTACGTGTTTTGCATCTTAAAGTCACATACAGCATTTACAAGCAGGCGGTTTTCAAAAAGCATTCCACTGGTTTTGTTCTAAGCAGATGAGATTCTGATTCCGATTGCTTCACAGATTGGAGAAAGATGGGATACCAGACATCTTGCAACCTTTCAGTCAGCATCATACACAGCACTGGAAAGCAGGACCACCATATCTACCCTATTGAACAGTAGCACCCATGCTGTAGGATGAAAGGAAGAAAAACCCCAGTGGTTATTTGCATTATCTATTGCAGCATAATGCTAAACAGAACCTGTCCCCCTATCTTTGCAATTGCTTACAAATGAGTGAAGAACTGCAGAATTGCAGATTTCTAGATTGTTTAACCCCATATAAATTAGAAGAGATTTGCACATGTGCAAAAAGGTCGCTCCCACTTTGCTACGATAGCAAAGAGTTTCTCTGGAGCCCTGTATGGATTGATCATACAGCTGGTCACTGTATATTCAAATAATTTTCACCTCTAAATTGTGGTTTATAAAAATGCCTAATGTGTCTGCAGAAGTTTTCTCCAGAATACCAATGTGAAATACTGTGGGGGCTGGCAATGGAGAATGATAGTTGCTTTTTCTAGTTCACAGCTATATTATATATTTGCCTCATGTTTTAGCAACACTTTAATTAAAATTTTTGTTTTAAAAAGAAAATGATTACTCAGAAGCAGCAACTACCTGAAACAGCATATGGGTTTTGGACAGTTCTATTCTTACAGCGTGAAGTTCACTGGATTCAGAGCTGACTAGCAGAAGCTTTTGCACATAAGAAAAAGTGACATATACCAAAGTAAATCTTTGAAGAATACTTGCCTACCAAATACAACCAGTATTAACATTTTGAGGAGCTGCACAGAGTGACAAGTATGTGGCAACTTTCTTGATCTTCTAAGTATAGGCAAAATTCCAGCACATAAGCAGTTTGGATTATCAAAACTGAGGTCCATAAAGCAAGTCCTAGAAGAAAAAAAATCTTTGAAATTTATCTGAAAGCTTCAGATTAACATTTATAGCCAATTTCACAGACTGGAGTTTCCAGAAAACTTTTTTTTTTACATTTGTAACGGACTGTAACAAATTGGTTAAGCTGATGAATTCCAGATATAAGTTCTCCCACCACTGATAGCTCTATTAAGTAACAAACCAGTGTTCAATGTTAATTAAAACCAAATTTCAGCAACTACCATGAGGAACAAGGAGCATTGTTAGGACTCTGCACATATACCCACATTATGATACATGTTGAACACAGTTCTATTCCCCAATTTTCCAAGGGTTATAATAGAATTAGCAAAATACATATAAAAGGATAATCAAAGGCATGGACTGACTCCTGCACAAATTGCATCTAAATAAATTACGATTTCTTATGCTGAAAAAGGAGGTACCTGGAAAAAACGTACAACAGAAGTCTATTAAATTCACAAGTGACAAGAAGGTGAACACAGAAAAACTTTTAATCACTTCCAATTCAAGAATGAGGCAGCTTCAAATGATACTCCTTGGCAATAACTTTAAAACAAACAAAAGGGAATATAGTTTTACAGACCACCTAGGAAAGCTCAGAACACACTACTACAGCATGCTGTGCTTTCAAAAGGTACTTTCCTAGCTTAAATACTTCTGAAGTTTAAGGTCCCATTTGTCCCAGGATGGCCACATAGAAAGAGCCGCATCTATGTCCATCAACTACTTTTGACTATCCAGATTCTAATTTTGTTTTTTATTATTCTTTTCTTCCTCTCTGTCAGTGATAAATATTTCTCCACACCTGAACACACTGTCATAAACTATCTTGCTGCTATGCTAAAAATAAGGTAACTGTAAAGCAATTTAGTCTATTCACCAACCAAAAAATCAAGATCCAATGCCAGTCTTCACTTACCCAGATCCTCAGGAGTGTCAAATAACTGCTCACACAAGTAATAGTCATCTGGATTCAAGTAGGGCAGTTGCTTCAGCAAGCTCTGCTTAGGAATGAGATACAAGACCTCTGCAATATTCCCATCCTCAATTACTGACATCCTTCTGACTGAATTTCGAAATTTCACTTTTTCCAGCACCAGTTCTTCACCTGATCCACACAGCTTCCCAAAGCTGTTTAAGATGGGGAAAGAAGGCATTTCTATTCGGAAGAAGGTAGGGAAAGCAACCTGTAGTGCATGCAGTCGGTCCACTACCCACGGCACACTGCCCTTTCCAATCCTTCTCTTTTTCTCTTATCCAGCAAAGGAGATTAAGGAAGATATATTTTTAGTGATTATCTTCAAGAGATCACAACAGTATGCTTGATCAGGTGATTGCCATCTACAACTATTGTAATCAGTTGAATCTCATCCCCGCGAATGCAAAAAAATCAGAAACAAAACCATAAAGAGTATCTGAAAATCAGATTAATATTCAGGACAAGAGAAAGAACGTAACTGAGTTATATAAGAGGATTAGTTTAAAATCAAAAAACCTTGCTGTGTCAAAAATCTTATTATGGAAGAATCATCATCATCATCATCATAAGCTACAAAGGCACATCTGTGCATTTAATCTGCCATGGCCCCGTTCCATGCCAGGTCTGTCTGTGTGCTACAGTGAAAAGGCTGTAGTAAAGGTAGAGCATGTCGATCCTCCTTTTTGAGGAATGTACCAGCACTGGCTAGCACTGCTTCATAAGCAGATTTCTTTGGAGAAATCCTTTCTGCAGCTTTCACTGCCTATTGCAAACGAAAGCACTTAAGCTTTCCCCTAACTACTAAGGATTGGTTCACTTCTGCTCTTCCTCTCCACCTTCCTGCAGAGCTGACAGCAGAAGCTTTGCAGATACTGTGCCAACCCTTCCTGCTTCACTTACAAGAAGTATTTACATTAATCCAATTCCAGTGACTTGCTAATCTAATCATCTAATGAATATTTCTCCCTGGGGAAAGGCAGAGTTAATCATCAACAGGGCACTGGAAAGTCACAGGAAATTCCAAAGCAAAAGATATTAAAAAAAAAAAAAACAAACAAACAACAACATTCATCATCTGTAAGAGAAAATTACAGGTAGACCCCAGATCTGGACCTGCTCAGAGACAACTTCAGATTTTTTACTGAGTGAAATTCCCAGAGAAAAATGAATAACCAGTGTCTGGCCCAGGCTTTCTCCTTAACACACAGAAGTTAACTATAGCTGCAAAATGACCTGATGTAATCACCACACTGCTTCCAGTAAAGCTTTTACTAAATTAGCAGGTAAAAAAACCTACCAATAGGCCTACTGAGCACAGTGAGAAACTGTCACTTAATTCTTCCCTCAAAACTCAGAGCTCAAGTACTAACTCCAGATGGGGACAGGTTTTGAAGAGAAGACTGCTTTATTTACTGTTTTAAAGAGAAAATATCATCGCATAAATCCAGACTTTGATCATCTCTTATTACACAGCTCCTATGAGGTCAATCACATTTTATTTCTCAAGTAGTATGACTTCTATATTATCTTGAAAACAAGCCTGAAATCACAGTTCCCTTAAACAGCCAGTCTCCTGAGTTTTCTAATCAGTCACAGGTACAGTAGGGCAAAGCCAGAATAAATCTGCACACTGTAATAATTTTAATGAGGTGATGCTAGTGTATGTTTGAGGAGGAGCTGGTTCAATAAATATAGCAATTCCAGTTCTGCCTTAGAGTATCTTGTATCAGATCAGACATCTCAGCAAATGCTGTTTTAAGCATTCCTCCTAGGAAATGAAGCTTTGCAGCAATTTTTCAATCTCTCCTAGATTTCTCAGCCTACTGACCTGTACACTGCAGCCCCTCAATGGAAAAGACAGCTCTGAAAATCCAAAAGCTTCTGCCACTTCAGCTGAAGGTGGATCACCAGCGCTTAAAGCAGAGGGATGACTCATAGGAGATGGCTGGGTGCACGTTGACACAAGTATCTCTCAGTGTAAGAGCGTCATTTGTTGCTGGATAATCGGTGAAGGATGTTGACATCTGACAACAGCAGTGCCAACTCTCCTCACTGACACGTCATGGTGGACTTTGCACTTTGAGGCAGGTGAGGCAAAAGCACACATTGCTCATACATGAACTCTGCTGCAGAAGTTAATCCTCATAAAAGCAGAAAGGTGAGCTCTGCAGAAACTGTTTAAACTACGGCAACATTTCCTTGGCTGCCTAAATCCCGGAAGAAAAGCTTGTCCTTCATTGGAGTTTGAACACACTGCTTTGAGACTGACTCCCCATTATCTGCTGTATCCATGCTGATTCCAACCTTCAGCTCTAGTCACCAAGGCAGTTATTACAACAGCTATTGCAGTAAGAACTAAACCAGTATGACCTCTATATCCACTAGAGAAACAGTCAGCCTGTGGCCACTGTAGAAGAGTCTGATGTTGTATCAGTGGCGCGCAATCCAGCGTCCTTTGACCACCAAGACACATGGGATTGGTGGGGGACCACAGACCAGAATTTAGGGACCCTAACATGTCACTGCAGAAGCATCCTGCTTAATTAAAAAAAAGATTCTCCTTTCTCTGACAGAGACTTCTTTAATGCTGCCCCTTTCCAGCCCTGGCTATTGCTGTCGCTGCCTGAGAACCACCCTTTCAAAAACCATATGCCAGCTGCTCCTTATAACACAAAGCAATATAATTTTTTGATAGTTTTTTTTTAAGTACAGTGTATGTGTTCAAGAGCCTCCATCCTGTCAGTATGCAATATAAGGGGACAAGCAGTAGAAATGAGCAAAATAAGACCAGGAAGCATCAGTGTGGCTTCCCAAAGAAGATGAAGGACTGTTTGAAAAAGTAGGACAAGGCCTGCAATACACTGTTACCAAGCACTGGAATTTAGCCTTAGTCTGAATCAAAAAGTCTGTTGTGATCTCCTACCACTTAAGTAAAGCATTCAATTAAGTGGAAAAGACTGATTTCTAACATTCTTGGTGAAGAGAAAAGAAAAAGGCAGGAAACACAAGGGCACAAGCTTGTCCTTACGTTTCTTGAAAGCCAGTCTCAGGAATCCAGGGCACTCAACTCAGAACTAGTGTCGAGGAAATTTTCTCAATATCTGCCAAGTAGCAAATCATGTTTAAATCACTGCCAATTCAAAGCCACGTCTAATCCAAGTAGTCAGTGTTGGGATCTCGAGCCTTCACAGAGCACAGTGTGAGGTATGGGCACTTTCCAGACTGACAATTTTCACAGGGGGCTGGCTGGATCTGAGACAGGATTAAGCAGAACAGCTACTTTAAATATTTTATCTCATTATCAACTTTATAAATATTTTATTTATAAATATTTCCAGTTGTCTCAAGATCATTTCCTATTCAATCCCCTCTGAATTCACCAAACCAATTGGCTGCCTGGATGATAAAAATACATGTATGTTTCATATGCAACCAGGAATAGAAGCTTCTGCACTAATTCTACTAGAACAGAAGTAACAAAAAAATATGACTGCAATGCACAAATAAATTACAAAACAGAACAGCGAGCAGTGAGTAATAGTAAAAATCAGACAACAAGGGCTAAACAAATTGTAGAAGAAACATCCCTCCATGCTCCAGAGCAACACTGAGAATTAGACTTGCCCTCCAGCTAAGTAAAAGGCAGAAATGTGTAGTGCACTAATGCTGTCTTTAATTGCTTCTACCATCAGAGTTAAACTTCTTGCAAATGCATTTCAGTGTGACTTTATTCTTATATTGAAAGCAACAAAAACCCCAAGCAAAAACCCAAGAAATTCAAGTCAGACACAGTAGCTCTGCAAAACCTAGCTGCAAAAAAATCAAAAACACAGGAAGGAAGGTAAAACAAAATGACATTTTCCTTTTCCCTCATACCACTAGGAGGGTAACACATCTATTGCACAGGTAGGTCGCCCCAAATAGTGTTTCTTGCATCTGTCCAAGGCCACAGGATTATCACAATTATCTTATTCTCCCATATAAGAATTCAAGAGTAAGGAGGGGAAAAAAAGGGTGTTCATATAAATGAAAAATGAGCAAGCACTATATCTATCTATACCATGAAATATAGTTATCCACACAATAAAATAACTAAAACAGCAAGCGACAGCAAAAAAAATTCCAATATTCAAGGTCACACACACACAAAAAAAAGAAACAAAACCTTGTGGTAAAATTACTTCACACATGAAAATTTTTCACTTTTGACACACACAATTTACTTACTCAAGACTGCAGGATGACGTACAAACCCTCAGCTATTTACTGTAAACTTGAGGAAACACTTCATCCCCATAATGAAGACCAAAAAAATCCACATGCACATCTTAATTTCTTTACCTAAATGTCCAAAACAGGCAGTCATCTTCTGGGCATACTGACATAAGCCCTTCACACTGTAGGGTTCCTCACCAAGGACCTGCTCAGTCATGGCTTCAGAATGAGCTGCCTTTCTCTGCAAAGTCAACCAACTACTGCTTGCTTGAGACTGATAAGACAACAGAGCTTCCTCTTCCAATTTATCTCCATTAATAATTCAGGTCCTACATAAAATTTGCTGAGGTTTAAAAAACAGCAGTACAAAGCTCTTTTGTGGCTTTTGAAGTAATCATATTTTAGTCCTTAAAAAGTATCTCAGCTATTATATTCCAATAATTTACAGGAAGTATTTTCAAATTGAAACAAAATCCATTCAGTTGCTGCACAAGGGGAAATACTGTTGGGATTATGCTCAGATCAGTGAGACATTTAAAACATTCACCCAGCTCAAATCCAGAAACAGAATGACCAGCACTACTAAAATGTGTTAGTACATATTGTTTAGTGTTTTCAGCAATGACACGGACAGAGAGATCGAGCGCACACAATGAGTGAGGTGAAACACTGGCACGGGTTGCCCAGAAAGGTTGTGGATGACCCATCCCCGGAAAAATTCAAGGCCAGGTTGGATGGGGCTCTGAGCAACCTGATCTAGTGGAAGATGTCCCTGCTCATTGCAGGAGGGTTCGAATAGATGACCTTTAAATTTTCCTTTAAACCCAAACCACTCTATGATTCCATGATAATCTTGCAAACTGATATGTCCACTGCTAGAAGAGCACCACTAGTTCACCCTGCACCACTTCTTAGTGCTGTATATCTTCTGGGAACTGAAAACCCCAAAACACCCCAGCTACAAACATCACTGTGTTTTCTGGTACTTTCCAGCACAGCATATTTCAGAAGAACTAAGGCACCACAGCCAGGAGCAACAGGAAGAGGGTATTTTCTCAGCTCACTCACTGGAGCATGAGGCCCATCTAATCTTGTTGTTATCTTGGTTGAGAAGAAAATACACAAGAACTGACTCAGCAGTCCTGCTGCCAGCCAACTGCAGTGGCCACACATACCTATCTCTGTTCTGCTTGCCTAAAAAATCCAGTACTAATCACATCATCAATGAGATCTACTTAGCTAAACACTTGCAGAATGGTTTGGGCTTGACTTGGGTGATGATTACCAGGGAGGAACAGGTGTTCCTCACAAGGAAATATGCTCCTTGTTCACTACACTTGGTTTTTGTCCATTCACTTGACACTTGCTGCTTCCTTACTAAGACCATATCCACTCCTGAAAAAACGTTTAGTAGAGATCATATAATGACTGCTGATAGCCACATTAAGCACTGTTACTACTAAGCAGACACTTTAAAGAGAGATCTGTGCTAGTACATCTAAATGCAAATTTTATTCAGAACAGACTGAAAAGCCTAGTTATTAGTATTTAATAATGCTTCAACAATTTATTGTCTAGAAAAGCATAAGAGGTAGGAATTCTACTGTCCACCGGTCTCTACCAACTTGGTTTGCTGGTTTAAACCC